ACGTAGAAGGATCGCTAGCTAATGATGTATCAAGTCATACTGAGACATGAAAAATTAAGAATGAGATTAAAATTGAGTATAAATGTAGAGATGAGTGGTAAGAGAGTTATTATAGGATTAGGAGAATGAAGTAAAGATAGAGAAAAAAATGTAGTATAGTAGTGAATAGAATTGGAAGGTTATAAGTTAAAAAATTAAATGATAGTAATGAAAACTGCACTGGTAGAAAGATGTAAAATAGCGGCAATACATGGTGAAGATTTTAGGTACTAAGTTATGAGTATGATGAAAGAAAGTTATAAATAATGAGAAGGCATGCGGCTAAAGTGTTAGAATGTTTGGATGTTAATAATGAAATGAGAAGTGGGAAAGAATAGGGGAATGATAAATTAATGATGAAATAAATAGTAACTTTTGATGATAGGGGGAGGTAAATGAAGAGGTTATGTGTAGTACGTTGTTCGATAGAGATAAATATAAAAGATCGTACTGTAAGTAATTAGTGTGATCAAAATAGTAGGTATAGATGTAATTGTTTGAACTGACAGTGTTAACTATGATTGTAAGTAGAATATATATTGGCGTATGAATTGTTGTTGAAAGAGAGAATTACTGAATAGATAAGTGCGATGTGTGAGTAGTGTTCTAGCAACGCGATTGTAATCACATGTGCATTATGATACTTGTTAATTAGCATTTGCTTTTATATTGTATACTTAGATAGTATATCTTATATTGTAATAGAACGTTAGTTACGTGAATAACACATATTCATGTGTTATGTACTTGAAAAATAATTAAGAGGTTGAAATGTAGCAATGATATATGCTTATATTTATTCTTATTTATAAAATACTATAATAGTGGTGTAAAAAAGGTTATATATTTAATAATGTCGAAAGGTGATTTGTCATATTTCTCATAAATAGTCTTGATATCTATATCTCTAAATTATATCATAGTCATTGTATAAGTAAATTTCATATACATGTTATTCTGTAATTTAATATCTGTTGTTTTCTCCTGATGTCTTTTCTATAGACGACCCTTCTTTTTTTTAATCGCAATTTCTTCCCTTCTCATCTCCTTTTTTTACTCATCCGCTCCTCGTTCTCTAGCTGCTCCTCTTACTTTCCTTGTATACCGTACTCTTCCTTTATTCCTCTCCAAACGTGTCCGATCCATCTCTTGTGTGTTTTAGCCTATACTCCATGATCTTATACCTATATCTTGTACGCTGTATCAATCTGTTGTTCTATGAGTGTCTCTCTCTCTACATGTTCCGCCTGACACCAATTTTCTACGAGCGATCCTTAGTTCCATTACTATCCCTACTCTTCTCTTCTGTTAATGTTTCCTACTCATCTCCCTTTTGCTCTTCTCCTTCCTTCTTCTCATACATCTCACTCTATCTTTTCTGTCACTACCACGCACCATTTCGTGTACTTTCCGTCTAGCTCTATCGTCCGCCTCTTTACCCCCCTCTCCTTTCCTTCCGTTTCGTCCCCTCTTATTTTCTCTCTTATTTTCTGGTGTTCTATTTACTTTCCCTCACCTGTTTTCTTCACTGTTTTCTCCTCTTTTTCGTCTCACACATGTTACCTTCTCACTTTCTGCTTTGCTTTCTTTTTCTTGCCTCTTCACTGCATCTGTGTTGTCCACCCTCACAGCATACCCTCACAATCATACCCACTTGCCCCCACCCCACCCTCTACAGACTTATACACCCTATATCTTCTTTATCTTGAATCCTTCCTAAAGGTATCATCTAGCATCACCTCCCCCCTATTATTACCCTTCCTTTCTCATGCACTAATTATTATCTAAGTATCCTCCCCCGCATTTATACCACTAATATCCTCTCCAAAATTGCATGAGGTGATAGTGTAGCAATCAGAAATCGTGACGTCTGTGACACATTATTGGTGTCTTGATTTTTGCGTTATTCTATTAGAAGCACACTAACTCTAAACACATAATCACACAGCCGTCTTTGTTCTCTCCTATTTTATATATCACGCACATTCGTATCTGTTTAGATCTTCTAGACTATCTTTCACAAATTTATTTTATCTATAGGACTGACTGCTACAAGAGCATCCACCAACAGATAGCTGCACATTGACAACATTCCCAACTGTCATACCGAATCTCTTTCATGTCATTACTAAATCTTCTTTTATAGCTCCTTGATTCTGAGGGCACTTCACTCATACAGGACTCATCCCTAGTCCTTTATACACCTAGTCAACAACGCGTACAGATCATAAAACTAGCTGTAAGACGCACAGCTACCCACTCCACACATCCATTCGGTTTATATACACCTGTTATTCTGTCTAGGGAACGGTTTGACTATATTGATAGAGCACACACGCTCTCCCCACCCATTCTCTGCGTTTGCTCTTATGCTAATTTTCTATAACAATTTAATTATCTGAATCAACATGATTTCTACTTACACACTCACACACTCGTCACCAAATATCGCGCACGATCTGATGAGCACTCACGTATAGTCTTACCCGTGCCAGAACATTTCAGTACTTACACAGCATATTTGTCTCACCCACTAAACGTGCCCCCGCTGCCCACCCCTGTGTTCTTGACATACACGTTCAGTTCGTTTCAATTGAGACAGTTGACATCTATTCTTACTTCTAACCACCGTATGGTGTACCATTTCTCTAATCTCCCGATTTCGTACTCTTCCACTGTATGTCTCGCATCCTGCCAACGTATCATGCTAAACACCGCACACACTCAACCACAATAAAAACACATAAAGACTCATATCAGATACACCTGTCTAGCCCACCTTGCTCACACTCACTATAGAAAGCGATACTGACAATACGTTACACCTCGGCGCTTAATATTGCATTTCAACATCATGTCCCACTACTTCTCTTCTCTCTAGTGTGACTAGTGATTAATAAAATCATAGTTAGTGTGTACCTATAGCGACTTCGGTTATACACGAATCGAGTGCCAAGATCGTTCACAAATTGATGAACGTTCAGAGCAGGATCGCAGTAGAGTCAGATATAATCGCTGTGCGCCGCGGGCACTAGAACATCTACAACGACATGAGATCATACTTATACTGAGCACGTATTAACTTTCAGTGCCTTCAATCTCAGACATTAATGTAGAAGTTTAATACCCGTATTTTTACGTTTACATTACTGTAGTATCAGCACTTACAGAACGCACTCCCTAAAGATAAAGTTTGCGTGAGTATAATGGTCACGCACGCGTAGTGTTGGGAGAAACTCAAGTTATTGCTCAGAGTAAGAAAATGCTTAGTGCATCATTCCCTCGATGACTGCCGTCCGACTACATTATATAGTGAGATCACGAGACGCTGGCCACCTAGACAGCGTAATTCAGCACCGCGGACTTCGATGGTCTATATGAGTACTTAGAGGCGCTACTTATTTTCAAGTAGGACGCTAGCGCTAATAGTATGATCGAATTAGTAAGGTTGTCTGATCTGATGTCTAGATATGCAAGGCGTGATCGTGTATCAATGACAGATCGAGTGGCGTCAAATGTGGGAATCGCACGAGTTACTCATGAAGCGATTAGGCACACTTTTGGTGGCTCTTATTTCGACATAAACATGGGCTGATCTTCCAATTACTTTTCATCTGCTGTCAACTTTTTGAAACCACTTGCACACCGTAGTTTTTGTTCCCAATTTTTCGCCCCAAGCCAGACTGATTCAGTTGATTCAAGATCGAACGACGCACATGTGATGTTGTATCATCCACTGGCCTGCGTTCAATCATACAGACCTGTCAATTCTTCTCTCCCTCGTCAACTCCATCTATGAGATCTAGCTATGCCACACAGTATATCACGCCAGGCGCAGCTGGGAGACAAGATATGCGGTTTGCACACGGAGCATGAAGCTACGTAAATCGCATGTAGCCGTCTGACCGTATCACCTTTTCCAGCACTTGGACTGCAAACACTTTCCTCCAACCTACTGTATCCCGTCTTTGTCTCTGCGTTCCCCCCCCCCCCCCTGTCCACACTCTAATTGGTTGCCTCCGACTGGAGCTGTTAAACTTCGAGCCCCTCTTCCGTCGATGCCCCCCCGTACAGTACCAGTCTGCAGCAGTGATACTACACTCCGTAGCGCATACACCTGAGCACCTGCAGTGATCGCTCGCCCAGCAACTCTGGTTCACTGAAGAGAGTGCGTTGGTGTACCGCTTGTCAGATAGGTTGCAGTCGCCCGCCGCGAGCCACCGTCCGCTTTTTCTTGAGCAGCCTGCACTGTTGCCCCCGAGCGCCTTTGTCGACCCCCACCTGCACCTGACGTCGCTCCTCGGTTCGTCGAGACAACCCCACTGACTCGCGTTGCACCTAGCCACCCCTGGACGTAGGCTCAAACCCAGCTCACCGCGCCCATTGACACACACACCAGGAGAAATAACGTGGCAGTCAACAGTCAATCGGCACCGAGTCACTTCCGCCTGCGCCTTGTATTTCACGCTTCGCAGATTCAGTGTTATGGTGCGAGTAAGATCGTGCCAAGGATCGCTTCTCAGTCGCCCCCCCCCCCCCCCCGAGGCAAGAAGCGAGCAGATTGAATACAGCTCAGATGCTTCAACACTCTTAATAAGCCATGGAAGCTGCACAGCATCATAAAGGGCAACGTATCATATGAGGTCTCGAGACAAAGAATAGTTGTTGGGAAAGATATTTTTGGATTAGTTACTATGTTACATCCCTTTCTATAGCAGCACAAACTCAAGTCAATTACAATAAACTAACGCACGTATGACGTGTGACTACAGGTAAAGATTGTGCACTGGATCATCAAGGCACCACACACGACATGCTCATATAGCCGTGGAAACTCTTTCAGTTGCTAGGATCATGTAGCACGATGTTTTACTTCCGTGATACATGGCTATGTGACCATTTGCAGAAATTGTGTGGAGTTTCAAAGAGATTCGTCATTTTAAGACACAAATCATAATATGAGGTCCCGGCCAGATTCGAACTCGCGTTAGTGGGTTCAGAGTCCAGGGTGTTAAGCGCTACACTACGGGACCACATGTATGACGTCGACAAATTCGTTGTGGCGCCCACAAATGTGAATCATAGCACTTAAGGTTTCGTTATTTAGAGAGGAAATATAATTAGTTTAAATGTTCAAACTGTGGTTTCATCGAGATTGTAATCTTCGTTATTGGATTAAGAATCTAGGATGTTAACTACTACATTGCGAGGTTAATGCGAGGTGTAAACAGATTCGCAGTGGCGTTTGCGAATGTGGGTCTTAATAAAGAAGGATCAGAGCTTTATGGATTAGCTGTTGTTAGCAAAGAACCCGAACTGTGGATTACTCGAGATTCTCATTCGCACTGCTGAAGAGGAAGTTCATGGTGTTAATCAGAACACCACAACACTAACTTCAAATTCACCTTATGGTGTCTCATAGACTTGGTCTTTGGAGCGTTCGCGACAATACACAGTGATTGGTGACAGAATCGATACCTTATCTTGCGTAAAGATGACAGTAGAATAGGAGCGCCGGTAGCGTGGTGGTTAGCACGCGCACCCGGAAAGGGCGAGACGCCGTTTGACTTCATACCAACGTAGGATGTGGTATAGATTGAATTAGGATCACTCCATCTATGCAGCAAGGCATCTCCAGTCTCTGAGTTGCAGGTGACTCTTCAACTATGGAATTCCTTTGTTGCCAGGGATTAAATTTCGTGATATGTTATTCTATCATTTTACAAAATCTCAAAAATTTCTCCAGATTGAGCTCATCTTCGGCTGGCCTTCGCCTTCTTTCGCTGGTGTGGACAAACATGGGCAATAGCTTCATATATGCCGTACTGCATGCGCGTATACCTCTGCAACTTCCACACCAATATCATAATACACTTGTCACAACTCGAAAGACCGACTTTCTTGAAATCTCGGCATGTTAGTAATATAAAACTTCGAAAATGAGAAGAAAAGCTTAGAAAACTAATCTTTATTCAAGGCTTCACACAAGCAATTGCGAAAATCCATCGACCGGAAAGAAGAACAATCGATTGGGAAAACATACAAACCTCGTGAAGCTCTAAATAAAGATTAGTTTCCTAAGCTTTTCTTCTCATTTTCAAAATAGACTTGTCGACCGCTCAGCAAATAGTATGAGGTTATGAATTGAATTTAGTGGTCTGTAGGACTGCAGAATCACGGAACTATGCAAGTGGCATTAGATTTTTTTCACTTTCTTCAAGGAGTTTCTCATGAGTTCACAGACTATCAGGCGTGTTAATCACTTTTGCTCAACACTGCTATAAAAATTTTGGCCATAATCGTCCTAGCTAACCTTTGATAGCTACAGCTTTGATGAGTTGCGGCTTTTCGTTAGCATCTGATTCGTAGTCTTTCATGAACCTTGAAGAAAACGTGATTATCATTGTGCTTATAGGAGTCTTTTCAAACACGTTTGAAAGAATATTTTGTCAATTCTATTTGTCAGTGAATAACTTAACATCACATATATCACTCTATCTGGATCCCAGCACTTTTTGTATTCGATTTGTTTTGTCGGCTCCATCACCCGTAAAAATTTATGAGATTTTTCTTGCATATGGTATCGGTTGCTGCTCGAGAATTTTTCGCCTTTCTCACCAAGGTTTCTGAACGTTGGTCGAGTCAGTTCTTATGTAAATCCTGAGACAGGTGTAATAGATCGCTTCCGCGCGGACTGTGTAGGATGGGTTTGTCTTAACCAAGTTTGCCACCAATTTGAAAACCGACTCTCCATGAGACGTCGGCGTAACGATTCAAGTATATACTTTTTCTTGCTCAGACTAATAACACGAGGTAGTCAGAAATAAAATTTATTCGGCGAGCTCTTCGACGTTTTCGTTTCATTCTGAGCAGATGACTCGAATCGGCTGCCTCCACCGGTCGTCCTCGCTATGGTCTCGGCATCAATCGTGTCGAACCTTTTCTGTGGACACCGCTCACATATGCCACATATAGACTTCAATGAAGGCGAACGAATGTGGACATTCGACTTGCATCATTGCCCCAGAAAGAGATTATGACGTCGAAACGTCAGCCGAATTATTCTTATTTTTACCAACCTCGTGCTCAATGAGCAAGAATATGATCTGGTAACGTCAACACCCATAAGTATTGAGAGATATGATAAGCCAGTTGGGGTCGAATCAGCTTCTGGGTAAGTTTAACTTTCCTCTCGTAACAAATAGATTCATAACTGCTGTGCAACCCGCCCTCTTTTTCAAAAACAAAGAATCCCTCAAAATACCTGGAGGCGTTTTAGTCTATGGAATGTCTCATCATGAGCCGCGATTTCTAGTATTCCAAATTACTTTACAATTTTAATGTTTTTCTTTGCTAAGATCCAATGTGGCAATTTTGTCTAAGGAGACATAGGTTTTTATCTCTATATTTGATGCTGTGACCTGATTTAATTTCGAATTTCTATAGAACTCTATGAGAATAAATCGGAACTATGCATACCTTATTTAGGGTACTGGACCTTATTTAGGGTACTGGATGGGCTCGTCACAGCTCGTTGACAAATCGAACATGGAGCAGAGACAGCGGTTTCATAATCCATAATGCGAAAACTAAATAACTTAGAAGTTATTCTGCATTTCCAACTTCGTGTGTTTTTCTGCGATTACTTTTGAAATTTTTTTCCGCTCAAGAGAAGCGGCACTGTCACGGCACGGAAAAAAATATCTGAAGCGATAATTTGTGTTTGAAGTGAGTTATTGAAAGAGCTCTAGAGTTTACAATAAATCTGACAAAATAAGCCAAACATAGAACTACAAGATTATCACCAAATGGTCTTTTAACCATCAGGGAAAAAGCCCAGTGGAATCGAATGAGTTGATGATAAAGAAATTTTAGCCACGGGTTTCGATTACGACATCTAAGTGGCTATTCCATACCACCCTCGCCTAACTTTACCTTCCTAATTTTTCCTACTTTTGGCAATGATACCACCGTATAAGTTGCGTCTTGTAGTTTGAAGACTAGCTCAGCAAAATGCGTCGATCATCTCAATGACAGTCTCTGAGGCGATACTATAAAACAACTTAGGGACCCTCCGTACCACCTCCTTGCGGAGCTAACCAGTCAGTTATATCTTCAGGCATAGTGATCGTTGGAAAGTGGCAGAAGATTAAAAGATACTCGATATGAATTCATCCCTTGGGAACACGATATATTTTCCGATCAAGCATCGCGAAAGAGAAAGATTTTTGTTGACCCACTGGCGTGTTATGTAAGACTTTTGTCCTTCAAAACAATATTAATATGGCCCTATCGATCTCTGTGAAAAGTGTTTGGTCAGCCTAATGTACGAAATCGAAGCGAGACCATTTGTTTATCACAGATCATGTCTAGTCACTGCACTATGCGCGTACTATTTACGGCAATGAATAATAATCTGAAAGAGTTATTTTATAGATTAATATCGAATTTAAGTTACAAGTGGTACAATCCTATTGCTGGACCGTTCGACCTGTCGCTCTGCGCACCTGGGTAATTTGGGTAATTACTATTGCTTTGGGCTGAAATAGTCGTAGTTTTAATTAGACGGATCACGATTCTTTTACTCTCGATTCCCTTGACTACTTTGCCCCAGATTGGTGAGAAACATAATTGGGCTTCACTGTATGTTCTGAATTTTTCTTGACATTGCTTGCTGCGATCTGTAATGTATTTGCTATTTTACCTGCCAATCAAACACTTTTGAGACGACGTTCATATATTTTTGGGTATACCGCGTTCCTGCCCGTTTCAGACGGTGCTCCGAGATTTAGGCTTTCGAATGACTGATAAGAGTCTAACGGAAAATCCTTGTCCAGCAAAAGAGATTCCTTCAAAAAATCACTGCTCGATAACAAAAATTATTTGGAACGTTTTCCATGCGGTCGTCTTCAATGACTCAAGGCACCTGCACTGAACGATATGTTTCAGTTTGAAGCTCGTTTTTGCTGATTTTCGTCCACAGCGATAGTCAGCCAGTAAACCGTGATTACTCACAGGTAAAGTACAATCTCGCTGTTTAGAAATACTTCAAAATGTTATCCGGTAACAGAATAATATTATCGGCGTATATATCTGGTGCGTATAGACTGAAGACTGATCCCTACGGTTCAGTCAAAAGGCAGAGTGGTGTGGCAGAGCACTCGCCTCTCGTATGCTGTTGTAAGATATTAGAGACCTATTTTGATTAGCAGGCGTGAGGTTGACATCAAGTGTTTTTTAGATCGTGGATGCATGTTATGCTAAACTTTTCGTAATATTCATGGATAAAGGTCAGAAATCCAAAAATGAATCGGAATGACGAGTGCGGTACTACCACTCGAGACATATTCATTTTCTTTGTTTGATCCTTTTACCTGACCTGAGGGGAGGTATCAAAGATTGTTGGCGATTTACTGAATCACAAGAATAGTCTAATACAACTTCATTTTCTTTGTTTGATCCTTTTACCTGACCTGAGGGGAGGTATAAAAGATTGTTGGCTATTTACTGAATCACAAGAATAGTCTAATACAACATATGCTCAGGCTCTGAAGTAGGTGAAGTTGCCGAAAGGTGAGTTATCGAATTTCTATTGTACTACTACAATTATCAGCAACCTCGCGTCGGCTAGATGCAATTTCTTGAGATTTACACATAATTGTTGATGCTGAAGTTATCAGAGAATCGGTTTCCTGAAACATTGCAAGGTCATTCGAAAAACTCAGCCTTCTGTTCGGAAGAAGATGGTATAGTGGGAAATGAAATACGAGCAACCGCCTCGAGTCCGTCAACATCAGTCCGCTAATTTGGGTAGTCCTACTTCAGTTATTGATCACCCTGGTAACTCCTCCAAGTGAATTGCGGCAACTTCCTCCAATTTCTTCTAATTCTCTTAAATCCTATGTGCATATGTTTTGTTGTGTTTCAATCTTGCTTCTTTCTGAAATCATACCTATAGTATTTCGAATCTTCGTGTTGAACCTTCTGTAGGATTTTGTTGCGCAACGATATGAAACGCACTGATCAGCCTTTT